ACGTGGATGGGACAGCACCTTATTGGCTGGAGCTACCCAGCTTGGGCCGCAATAGCTATCCAGTGAAGTGCGAAGAATTCTCCCACTGTCGAGAGGAAGCCCCAGGTATCCCACTCGCGCGTCCATCTAGCGAAGAGGGGGGGGGGTTGACCGGTAAACTGCCCCTCCGTGTTTTTTTTCTTTTGGCCACTGCTTATTGATCTTTCAGGCATGATTGGATCTGTCACTGTGAAGAGCCATCCTGTATAGCTCACAGGGTCATGAAGGCATGCAAACCATCAATCCACGTCAAGATGCAGTCTTGTGATAGCGCATCAATATTATAACGTAGTTAAATCGTAACTCACTTCTAATTCTCCGGGATTATGTTAGTTCATCCCAACGAAAAGGATGAAGCCACCTGCGAGTAGCAGGATTCCTCACATAATGTGGTTGTTAGATTCACTTTGAGTGATATCCACATTCGATTGAGGTCAGTAGGAAGCGAAGCACTACTAAAATTCCCTAGAAATGTGCAACATACATTTACGGCGTTTTTCAACGGAACGAGTCCAAGAAGGCCAATTTCTGACGGACAAAAATTACGAGGGAGATGTCTTTCTTTTGTGTTCAAACTGCATCCCGTGTACTGTTTTCAGTTATTGCACTCCACCGTGTCCAATATGATCATCAAACCAATGCAAACCGTATGTTTCATTGTCTTCCTATTTCATCTCAACCAACAACGATACAGTATATGGATCGCTCACAACAAGCTCATTCTCTGTCTTGTTTTCTTAGGTGACTTTATCCTACGTGGAGAAATCCATGACGAGGCACCTGTCGCTTGAGCACAGCCACGTGAAAAGTTTCATGCAACAAACCGACTGACTGGTATTGCGGTCCTATTTAAAACACCGTTTGAGTTCGCGTAAAAAGAGGACGCTTTCCGCTAACAGTTATGGCTTTTTGCCGGAGAGAAAGCGCTTCCCAGGTAAAAATCCATCGCATCATGCCATCATCCTTGGTGACCACTTATTCTATGAAGCGATTTCCGTTTATTCGCCATCGAGTACCTAAGTTCTCCTGTCTACCGACTGCAGCCCTTTAGATGTAGCCTTTTGTTACTTTACCCATTCATGCGCAACCACACACACATTCAAATAGCCTCAAACCCCATAAAACTCCACTTGATTTCACAATGAATTTCATATATTATGGAGAATTTCGTCGTTTTGCAGATGAGTTAAACCGTGATCTAAAATCCAGCGAGGTACTGAACAGTTGTTTCGACCTGCTTCGGTCTTATCATCATCAGCAGCAGAGGCAAAACTGAGAACGGAACTTGCAAACTCAAAGGTAGAACACAAGCATACTGCTCATGACCATTGAGCCTTGTATCATTTTTCCCTATACAAGATCCAGCACAGTCCAGTTTCGCATGCTTATTGTAGGCATCAGACCTCACTCATCTCAGCACCGGTTTCCACAGTTATTACTCTATCGGATGGGATCCAACCGCATCGAACCAGTTCTATAGGACTTCCTAGTCTTTCACTTCACACTTCAATCGCCCGGCAAACGAAGAAATCCCTCACATTATCGATTAAAATCCTTCATTACTTACATGTAATTTCACATTTGTCAGAATGTTATCAACATGCGACCGAACACAATGTGTTCAAATAATTTCTCCAGCAGTGTTTTCATTTAACTGAGTGCCATCAGTTGATGAAAAGTAAACTACCATTCGTAACACTCGAACTATTTCATGCCTAGAACTGGTAATTTTATCTTCAACCCATTATTCCATTTTTTTTGCCTGTGTTTCACAAATTGCAAACCCCTGAATCGCGGTTTCCATCACCGAACAACAGGTCTTCGTGACCATGGAAGTCCAGCCGGTCTGCTGTTCATAAAGCAAAAGTGGATATTAGAAGAAAGAAAGAAAGAATCTCTGCAATACGGATATTGGCTCACATTCCGCACAAATTTGCTTTTCTGTTGAGCTGACCGATTTTGACTGAGCAACAGTTCGTTTTCCTCACCGGTATTCGGAAACTTAATATGAAATTGTGAGGATTCGAGTGAAAACTGAAAAATGGTCGAAAAGTTCACCATTTGCTTTCTCTCACTCTGGTCTTGATTGCACTACCCGCCATAGGTCACGGTATCTTGTCCCCTGCCACCCTGGAAACACCGTAATGAACCACTTGAACAGATCCAAAATAGCTGACTCGGATAGTTGGCTTGTTTTTATTAATCACTGCAATCCTGGAGTTTGGCGGGGGCGCGAAGAACGAGGGCAAGGGCGGGAAAGACAAACGAACGAAATAAAAGAAAAAAAGAAAGAAACGGGAAAAATGTTCACGACCCGACTGGGGATGAAATTTAAGATCACACTATTTGGGAGCAGTTGAATGCGATACACACGTACAGGCATACGCACATACGTACGTTTACGTAACACAATTTTATTAACATTTGTATTGTTTTGTATGTATAGTGAAATTATTGTTTTATAAAATAAAATAAAATTGTATCAAATCCGATGCGAGTATTTTACCACACTGTACTCTTTCCTGGTCTCCCAGTCTGTCTGTNGGGGGGGGGGGGAGGAGGTCTGTCCTCATTGCAATGTCATAATATATGTATGTATAGTCAGGTATGTATATTTATATATATGTATATATATATATGTATAGTGATAAATGTGTGTACGCGTCTCTGTATACTTAGACATATCACCGTTCCACTAACACAGTTCAGCTTGTATTTGGCAAAAAGTCATTTTCAATTATTTCATCCAATACGTTCTCTCTCATTGTAAATCTAAAATGGCATGAACAAAGAAAAAGAAAAAAACGCCGGAATATGTCGATCTCTGTGTGATTAAGTTTGTCAACTTTTCGCTTGGGCAACGGAAATGTTGTCGGTTGAACGTGATGGGTGGGGCACGGATTGAGCCGAATTGTATCAACTTACACCACTTGCTCCCAGTGGCATCTTATAGTGTGTGTGTGTGTGTGTCACGAAGCGCGTTTGATTGGATGAGAAAACATTCCAATTTTGTCAGGTGAGCGATGTAGTTTGCTGCCTGAATCTCAAGTAATTATTGCTATCGAGTTCGAGGGTTTTAAAACTGAATGAGAGACAGAGAGGGAGAGAGGGAGATACGGAAGGATTTGTGTGTGGTCATTGGAGTGGAGGGTCGGAGAGGTGTTAGGGCGCATTAAAGTAGCAGCAGCAGCAGAAAAATCGCGCATATTCAGCGTAAAATAGACTGGAACAGTGAGACATCTTTTGTTGAAATTCCTGAATACGAATTATTACGATCTTGGTTTAGCTGGAGTCACACATTCCCACATGTGCTCTCTCGCTCGTTCCCATTCTCACCTCTCAACTCTTCCCCGTTGTGTTATCGAATCTGTGACTCCAATTTTCGTTTTCGTCGAAGTGCCTGACTGGTTTGTATGGCTCGATGTTTCGCCTGCACGCGACCATAACATCGAATCAGACAGTGCATACAGGCGCGAATACACGGATCCTGAGTGGACCGGATGGCCAACCGATGTAGCACTTCGTCCAACGAGAGCAGTAACGCACAAATCAAATGCAGGCAACACGCGAACCAAGTGATTGCATATCCGGCACCAAAGTATACGGGCCCGTCCGTTTGCAGATGGACCATCGCGGTCACATGAAAAATCAAGGTGGCCAAGGCAGTGACAAATGCTGAAAAATGTTTTGGAAATCGACGGAGATTAAGAGTGAGGGATTGTGCAACAGTATGATATAAATACAGTATGCTGACTAGTGGCAAATAACAAAGCTATTTTATGAAGGTAAAATGGTTTGAGGAACTTTAACATGCTGGTTTATCATACACAAACCACTTGTTGGAAATTGACCACATTTCTATCGGATCCAATTCAATGGGTAAAGGCACTTTGAACTTTCCAGACTAAGCGTCAAGTGGACTACTTCACATAACAACGAAATCAAATTTTACATTACTCTTAGATAGAAGAATTCTTGTTTTTAAAGTTCCCGAATTGGTCACAAATATCACTGAACATGGGTTCAACAGGCATGCACAAACTGGTTGTGCTGTACCAGTGCCCACGGAGTGTAGTTTATAAGACCAGAAACGGATCAAACAGTTATAAGATGTCTCTACACTCGAAGCCGAATTTCCCAATTATGGTAAGTTCAAACAGAAATTGCATTCGTTCTTCTTCTTCACACACTTCTCCTGTTCCCGAAAACTATTACAGTGAATGTAGAAAAGGAATCACGTTAAGTTAAATAAGTGACGACAGATTTTTCCACCTGATCGTATCCGTGCCGATCCGACAAACAAATCAGAGAATAAAATTGGCAATATGAATGACACTAAATTTCTTTCAATAGTGAGAGTCTAGATTGATAAATTTCGTTTAAATGACGACGATATTGTCGCTTGGGGTCCTTGGGCTTTACCAGTCTTGACAAGTTTTTTAACAGGAAGTAAAAAGAAAGTGCGAAACGCGGAATTGCAACAACAGGTCAAATATGATCTGCTTCATTTGTTACTAACTAATTTCTGGTGCATTTTGTTCTCAGTTAGTATAGCAAATCCATGTTTCGTAATGCCAACTGTGTCAGACACAATGATCAATGACGTCTTTAAAATTCATAATAGGATTCTATTTATTCGTGATACTTTAGCAAGCCTTAGTTTTATCATTATCCGATTGTGAAGCAATTGTATCAAGACCAGACAGAAGGTAAAAATAGACGGTTCTATCAACTCGCCGGAAAGCGCCGTGATGAAGTGCCTTCTTTAGATATATTTATCCCGAATGACATGTCCATAAAAATGCATGCTATTGGTGATCTAATATCAAGCATGCCTGCCCAACCCAGCATAGTCTGGTTAAGATTGCCTCACAGAACCCGTCAGGTCACGCACCGATCCGCGTCACGTCACAAGCACGCTCGTGACACCCAAGGCGAGTCGATTCCGGATGGGATGACTAGGACAAATCAGCCGATCAACCAATCGGAATGTCAAAGATACGATCTGACGGGTGCGTCACCACGTCATTCTCATAAACCTAATTTACCTATTTAAATTTGCATATCGCGTCACGATCAATATACACTCTGACAGCCGTTCTTCAATTATGTTCTCTCCCGTATCATTGTTGGGGGCTAGTATCGATCGTACAGTTAACCAGAACAGGACAAGTTCACCTTTGATATACGCGAATCGAATATTGTTTTCAAATGGCTCAACAGCTACGTTAGCCTGGGAAAAATGACCAATTTCTGGCAATCCATAAGTATCTAGATTTGGATTTAGTCATGCGGTTCAATTAGGACAGTGATTTCTATTATACTTTATATCTGAGTGCCCGTGTAAAGCTCATCACCTAATGTTACTTTCACTGGTCAAAGATTTGCCTCAAAAACAAAACAAAAACACGGTAGATAGTTCGAGACAATCTAAACCTCAGTGACAGTTTGTGTGATAGGCTATCCGGAGCCCAAACCATGCCCATCTCAATGCCATGAGTCACATCTTCGTTTTAACGCCTCAGCATGGTGATCGGTTCATCGATCTGTCTTGTGTCTCATCTGATCGATCGAGGTCAGGCGTTATCGGGTACATTCACGTCTAAAGTTTACTCGGTGGAATATCCCGAACATAATTTGCCCAACGAAAACGTTCTTTTGTTTGTTCACCGGGTGTTTTGATGGGTCGATCTTAACAACTCCTCGTGTCTATCACATGATTCTACTTTATTTTTTTTGTGCAAAAGACTAAGCCAGCTTTGATGCAGACATACACAGGTCTTCTTCGGGGTTTTCATCCCTTTCAACTCTGAGGGTATTTTGAATGCTAACTTATTCATCCGAATAACACTGGTTGTATCCGCGCACTTGTGTAGTGTCGCATGTCAATCAACCCCATTCATTCTGCTTAAAAAGGCCTACATCATACTATAGAAACCAACCAGCGTAGCCCGTTTGACAGTTTACGAATACTATCATTCAGACAATCTATGTTTAATGGCAAGTCATCTATCATACTTGACAGGATCAATCATTAGACCATTCATGAGTCGATAATGCTCTTGTGTGCTAACTTAATGAACACTCGTCGATTCAGTTCTTGGTCCTACAGGAACCAGTATTTTGTTTTGTCGATTTATTCGGACACTGGTTATCGTGAAAGTATATACAGTCCTTCAAAATGAAGCTTGAAAGAGGGGAGGTTAGCCACTATTAATATTAATTTATCTTATTCCAGTAATCAGGAGTCACGATAAAAATAGATTAATTAAGCAAGTAGTAGCTGTCGATGTGTTTTTCAATAATCTTTAACTTTCGCTTGTTTGATATGCGACAACTGTGCATTATTTACTTAAGGGTTCCTGTGCCAATGTACCGGTACCGAAACAACATTTTACGAAGCAAGAAGAGGAGTGGCAGCAGCATCTAAACCCATAAAATTTGAGACAATAGTCAGTCACTTGGCATGTCCTACTCTCGATCGGAGATCAATATTCAGACTATGTAAGCTGATTTGGACGATCTCTGTCTGTTTTACTTTTAGTCACATCAATTGTGGGAGTGTTTAACTAAGGTTCTTACGAATTTTGCGCAAGGTTGTGTTGGACTAGGATAACTTCGCTATAGGGGGTGGGGTGGGGTACGGAAGGGTAGGTAGGGTAAGTGAGTAGAGCCTGTATCTCGTGCTGTTCGCTCTCTCTTCCTCGGGCACAATCAGTTCTACATGGTCAGTCTAACTAGACCAAAGCAAATTGTGATTCAAATGTTAACCGGACATCTTCATCTGAAATCCAGGTTCGACTGAATTGTTCGTGCTATTCAGTACCTCGTTTACAATCAATCCTTCCCGCTCCGCGTCCCACACCTTCTCTTGTATTTTCACCAGATACAAGTCAATTTGGTTACATTTCCTTACAAATGAACCGATAGAACGTTCGTTCAATTACATTTTTGTGGTTCACTACCATTTTTTTCATTTTGTTTCGATTGTTCACTGTGTAGACAAATAGCTATTGCAATGCTGTACTGAAACTGAATAAAAAAGCAGCTTGTTTGTCCGGCATTGGTTTCCCATATCCGATTTCTACAACACTGTCGACAGAAATTAAAAACAATTGTTTGCACCATATTCAGTAGGAGAAGAAGTATGTTCTGTACTCTCAGTTCGTTCCTCAGGCTGGTTGATCAGCAGCTAGAACTAGGATTACCAAATTAGAGGGTAATTGGAACATTTCACACGTCGAACAGAACACGTACACGCCCCAGTGCTGTGATTCACATTTTGCTATGAACAATCTCTGCATTTGATGATATCAAGGATCGTCTTCTCATTGGTCACGGTTCCACAAACGAATCGATCAATCGATTGATAAGGATTTATAGTCTGAACTGAGGATCAAATCCGAAACCTCCTAGGTAGAATGCAAGCATACAACCCCTCGATCACCGGGCGGCTTATCTGGCTGTTTTTCGTTCTGTTTTTACACAATATTGTACTTGATAGCTTTCCACTTCACGTTTCTTTTACTTTGAACACGATGAAATTCACTATGGAATTAAATCAAATCCTCTATTACTCTCATGTAACAAGTAGTCAGGTTGGAAATCTTTCCGTTCCAGTCATAATCCCCTGGAGCCTAGTGCTAAGATGAGCTAGGTCTAAGGCCTGCAAAAGCTCGCAAAGTTGGGCTGTGCTTTATCATGTAAATGGAAAATGAAAAGCGGTCCGATCAGCTACTCGGTGTTCGAGTGGGCAGTATGCTTGCGTTCTACCTGTGGTGAGCCGAATTCAATCCTCAATTGGTAAGACGGACTTGCATTGTGCTAATGAGACCCAATCCGGACCGAAACAGCTGTCCAGTGCTCCCTCAAGCTTTTCATTTCACGCTTCATTTACCCTATTTTACACAACAAAATCCGCTATAGAATCGAATCAAATTCTCCATTAATCTCATGGTACGGATACGTTGGGTGTGGAAACAGCTTCGTCGAAACACCGTGGATGAGATGACAGTTACTACGTGTGCTTGTGTATCAGTGTGAGTACGTGCCAGCCCAGAAAGATAATAACATCGTGTCTCCTTCCGGAATTCGAGTATCATCAATTCTAAAAACAATGTGAAAATATGGTCCATGACATGATTGATAAATCATCAGCGATCAAGGCTTTCGCTACTTCTCTTATTAGGTTTGGACGTTCAGAAAATATATTTCACCAAATTCTGAAGAGAAATCAGCATTTAGCAAGTGTATGTAATTTTAAATCTTGGTTGCCCAATGAACGGGATTTTCAGTTCTTGTTTTGAGACAGATTAGCCAATGGTATTCAGGTGTTCTAGTGGGTCTTCTATATGATGAGTATGTACACACACACACACACACAAACTTCGATATATACCCGGACAGTCATTTGATCGCGCAGCTGGAACCGATCAAATGCGTAATGATCTTTGCTCAAACCCAGAGGTTCTTCTGATCCGTTGACCACGTTGACGGAGTCATGATTTCCCTGGGGCATTCGAAGAAGTGAGGAACGAAGTGTAAGCACCAAATCCTAACTGTGTAGTCATGTATTGTTCTTCACGAATACAGACAAAAGCTCACACACTGAAACCAGTTCAAAATGTGTGCGCACCATTGATTCCTTATTCTCGGGTTTTCCAGGGGCTATTCAT